TACCGTGCAGGAGAAACCACCAGAGCATTTGCTACGTGGCAGAGTGGATCGGACGGCCAAACGGAGAGTTCACGGTGATATCTATTTTGCAGTTTTTCTTTCGTCTTTCTCAACATTCCTTTGATATCATCTTGCCAACACCACAACGAACAATCAAAGACTGGCAAGACGGTTCTGTTCAGGAACGAGGTCGGAATTGAACTGCCTTCCCGTACCATCCGCCATCACATCTCGAGACGCAGACATGCACACAACGACTATATAGCGACCACTTATGATTATGATTTCCGAGGTGACACTAAGCTTCAACGATTTCACAGAATTGCTCCCTGCTCCAACCAACTGCCTTTTTACTTAACGTCGGAGGATGGACATTTTGATGAAAAGGGGAGGTGTAAGAGGCAAGCATTTCTAATTGAACGATCGATGAGGGCAAGGGATGAGTCATCTGATAGTTCGCAGCTATTTTACAAACCTACAGAACTTTGCGGAGATTCTAGGCGGCGAGGAAATAACATCGGATCGACGAGCAGGAGCTGAGAAGTTTCATTTGAGAACGGGCCGGACCTAGCAACCTCGGCCTGCGACGATCTCCATGATGAGCAGACAGTTAATATGTCACTTTGTATGTATGGCTATAAATCGTTAGAAGCATTCATGTGGAGTTAACACTCATACGGATCATAGGGGCTGGCTATAATTCTACCAATGTTCTCATGGAACTACGACAAACGACAAACGATGTGCTCTAGGAACAGATGGAATACTCGACATACGACGGAATACTTGACAATCATGTGAAAATGGCATAATTATTTGCTATTTTTTATTTGCGCTTCAGAGACCACCGTGCCCAGCAGCAAATGCCCGACCCCTATCACTCTAGCCGGCAAATCATCTACACAGAGCAGTGCAGGACAAAAGGTGTCGCAGCCGCATCTTTTCAACCAAGTGGTAGCAATAGAAGAGGTTGGTTCCCGATATCTTGCACAACCGATTATACCAATATTCTGATAGTAATAATACCAAACAAGGATACTGCGGGAATACATGATTTTGCTCCAACTGATGAGAGAATTGTTTATTCAGAAGGTCATACAGGACCGCCAGAAATCAGTAACGTCCCACTGACATTTTATACTACAATCCCACTGAAGTATGCTCATTTTAAGAATCTCCAAACTGCGCTGAAAACAGCGAACTCGGAATTTTCCATCAACATCATTTTTCTGCGATGGCACAAGAATAGTCGTACGCGAACTCCCTTCGACGCCCAAGGATATCCTGTCTCAGTACTACAACCATCTACGACGCGAAGATACGGCTTGTCCGCTTTTGTCAAAAACACGTGTTCAGAATCGGATCCACACTCGGCATTCTGCTTACAGTCCTTGCCAATAACGACATTCGACTCCGACACAACGTCCTTTATCATGAAAGCGTGGTGCACAACAAAAGAAGAATACCATTCTTACGAATAAAAAAAGGAGACATTCATCGGTACCGAAATGCGTTCCATAAAAAATACCATTGGAAACCACCGAAAGCTACGACCTAGTGGAAGTTTGCGAAGCGTCTATCTGCATCTACGCAAGAAACTGCAAAACCCATACAGCGATATTTTTCCGTCTTATTTCGTGACGTTTTGATACGAGATCCACCTTAATGGATATATCAAGGATCCGCAAGAACACTTTTTTGCCCCGAACAACCAACCGTAAGCGAAACAGTTTAGTGTCAAATATGTCAGCAGAAACTCTACAACGTCCAATGCTGGTCCATCACAAAAAAGGCTACATCCGTAATATTCGTAGTGGCAGTCATAATTATTCTTCATCTCTGTACAAGATGATCTGATGGACGTTCAAGAAATGCATATGGTCTCGGACGAGTTACATCGGCACTGTAGAGGCTGCGCTACGACCACGAGGGACCCCACTAGGAGAATCAAATAACTTGTCATGGCCCATAGCGACAGTGGAAGGCAGTTCTGTACAATTCTTGCTTGATATATTCAGTTCACTGCGCACCTGCAAAGACTAAAATCTCGCCTGAATACATGTTCCATGTTATTTCCCTCGTCAAACCTCTATCATCCCTACTTTTGAGGAGCCTTGTTTTGCTCGGAATCGGCGAGTTTTCTAGTCTTTTTCACCACCGATGAACTGTTCCCACCATATACTTCAGTTTTCACAGTGAAAAAGGGTTCCTCAAAGTTATTGTGGACTGTGCCTTTTAATCCATTCTGCTGAAGTCTAAAATCTTGACGGAATGAAAATAAAAATACAGCGTTTTAACAGCTTTATACTAACGAAGAAGAAGGAGGAAGAAGCTCTACGGGATAATAGCAACCGTAATAGTGTCAATACCGGCCTTCCAATGCTGCAACGATATTGTTTCTATGAGAAACGATACTGTTGAATGCACGACAGTGAACAACAAAGAGCTCCATTCAATGAACAACAAAGAGCTCCATTCATACGACGAAAATACGTTTTTCTGACTTCAACTGATCGGTCAAGAAGCCCGCCTTCTACTCAAAAAACACGAACAGTGAACCAACGGGAACTATTGCAATACTACTTGAGGACATCGCCCATGTTTTTCAACAAACCTCAACGTTGCTGAGCTGTACTGCGGTGTTCGTCGAGATCAGCCAGCTAATGAGTTCAATGTTTCCCAGCCTCCAGCGTTCATTGTTATGGTCATTTGATTATTCAAATCGTTTTGCATCCGCAGATCCGCTCTTACTCGATTTAGCCACTAATTTCTTTCTTTTCTTCGGTGAATGTAGTTGCCTTTGCCTTGAGTGCTGTTCTGCCTTAGCTGATAGTACCCTGTGCTCACTCTGTCATTATTCTCCACATAGCCACTATCCACAATGCTATTGCCTATTATGACGGGAATCCACGGTGCACGTCAACAAGTGGCTTGATCTTTATGACTCGTCGCTTGGGCCTAGATCTTACGCCTAAGGTTCGTATTTAGATCAAAGAGGTACCTATTTGGCCCGCTCCGGAATAACCTCGGTTAGTTGCGTTGCTTAGGCTGTCCTGCATTCATCTGCTCTTCTGCTCTCACCTTATTTCATATAGTGTGATGGCTCAATCT